TTTTTGTCGAAATAAGAAATTTCATAAGCAGCGCGTTATTTCTTAGGGCTTCTATAATCACGTGTTAACGTTTTAGATAATTTGGTGCACCTAGTTTGGAGAATAGTTTTATAAATATTTTGACTTTTTGGTGTGTATATATCGCACTTTCATATCACCTTAAGGGGATGTGAAAGTGGCTTATGAAGATCATTCATGAAACTTTTCGCTGAACTGGGTATACCGAATCGTTTGAAATTTTACCACGTGAAAATGGAGTTTATAAAGGAGGTCCTGACACTCGTGAAATATTTCTTACACCAGATTTTTAAAATACTTTGAACAAATTAAAAAAAAATTGAAATTTTGTGAGTGTCAAGACTTTCCTTATAGTCTCCGCATTCACGTTGTAAAGTTTGAACCGATTTGGTATACCCAAGTCGGCGAAATGTTTCATGAACAAAACCTCTTTGACGCCACTTTCACATCACCTTAACGCTTAAATGCTGGAAAATGAGATTCAAAAAGCCTAAGAGAGTGTCGTGATATTCTCGGAAAGAAAAACGCGTGCTACGGTACCGTATTTACCTAACGCGTGTACTGTCACTTGTTCCAATGTCGATATATATATTTTTTTTAACATTTCTGACATTTTACTTACAATGTAATCATAAAATAATTCATGAAAATTGCTGGGTTTTTAGCCTGTTACACGAGAATGATATCAGTGTTTAAAATTAAAATGCCATAAAAAGGGGTAAAAAACCAGTTATGACAAGCTCGAAGTTCCTGCACGCATTCTTTATAAATTGAGAGAATAATAAACTAGAATACCTTGCGAGGCCGAGCTGACAAATTGAAGGGAACATTTACATACATGGATGGACATCGAATATACAATTGACTGCTTTTCGAGTCACGCACGTTTTTTTAAAGAATCTTCTGACCTTCGAGTCAAGCAACATTTTTGACATTTATGTCAGTCAGACTTATAATGTATGTAATATAGAAATACTACGTTAGAACTGCTGTTGTTCTTGCAAGTTGTTCAATAATTACATAAGAAGCTGGCGTAGAACGGACATGATTCAAATTAAATTCAAAACATTATGAATAAATGATTTGACAAGTTGCATAAAAAAGATTCGTTAACGATATTTCCTTTAAAATCGAAGAACTCGACATTGCAAAGCTTTCTCGTAAAAAGAAATAAATACATGAAAATTTATAACCAGTCAGCTTTGTCATGCCTGGATCGCATCACCTCTTTTTACGATACCTTATCAAGGACCTACGAATTTTACATCCAAGTAAAATCAAGGATTATCCACCAATCTAACGAATCGGCATCTGTTTCTAACGCACAATAGTTTCTACTCGATATCAACCGCTATTTAAACAACATTGCTATTGTACTACCCGTGTTCAGTCTTTGTCAATAAATTAAGCTCCGAAAGTAGTATCAAAGCAGAAATGTTTCATTCCATTGTTAGAAAGAGAGGCACGGCCCCCTGGCGCCCTCTGCGCCCTTCACCCCTCTGTAAAAATTGGAACTACTTTAAAAGAGGCGACCTGATCGGTAAAACAGGGTATACGTGAGTGCCGCGTCGTAATCTCAATCATCCACGCATAACAACTTTATTTCCTATTCGTAGTCTTCTTTCCCAACCTACGTTGACCCTGATACTAAAAACGAAAAGGATAACTTCATACCATCGATACTGTGCTGTATTTGAAATCTGCAGACGCGTTTTTCTTTACCGATAGTGAACATTTCGCCCCTTTGAAAGCAGTTCCACGGCGTTAAGGAACAGTGCATCCCTTTCGACAATCCCGTGAAACATCTCCCCGCTCATCTCTGATCAAAGCAACGACGGTGAAAATAATCGTAATTGGAGAAAATTTACCCCGAAGTGTACGATCTTCGAGGATCCCGAACTGTCCCAACAACATTCTTTATAAATTCGTCCGATAGTGAATTACACATTGTATTTCAGCAATTTACTATAAATTATGGTAATGGGCAGTCATTCGGTTCCGTGCGTCGTGTATAAATGTAGATGTGTTTACAGGAGGAAGAAGAGAGAGACGAAAGGCTTAAGAACAATGTCTCTTGACGGAAAGACCCAACTGATGGTCGCTAATTGACAATTCTCAACTGGATCTTCGATATTTAAGAAATGTAGGGAGGTGCGACTCCTATACGTCATTTGCCAGAAAAATTACACATGTAACATCGTTGGAGAAACTCCTTGACTACATATGGTCATTCATTAAGGTGAAGTGAAACACCCTTCAAATCAGTCGACTCGAATAAGACACTTTTTTTTAAGGGCATTTGCAAAACTTTGCACATTACTCGTGATCATCTAATAATTGTCCTGACACTTTCAAAATCTGGATTTTTCAAACAAATCTTTTAACTTAGCCCAGACCAGAACCAAAATGACGTCCAACCCTCGTATTTCGATCGACATACAATTATTGAAGGCTCTAATATAAGAAACGAAAATGTCAGGACAATTTTACGACAATTTAGAACACTCTGGTAATCGAGAAACTCGCATTTGAACAGGATAAAGGCAAAAAAGTGTCTTATGCGCTAAATGCGTTATGCTAAAACAATGGCAATGCTCGGAGTAAAAGTTTTTGTTGACATAGGAAATCACAGATGGCACTGGGTGTCCCTTTGCAATCAATTAGAGCCCCAGAAAGTATGAATCCAGAGGATTTTTGGAGATTTACTTCGATTTCTTTATATTTATTGTACGAAAACGGCAGATGGAGTACGCCATTTTGTACAATACCCAAAATAATTCTACACAGCTTCCAATATAAAAACAAACGTCGGCAATGGAGGTATTTAGAAAAATCTTCTTTACCGACGTCGATCAAGTTCCTCGACGTGTTTCACTTCACCTTAAAGGAGGAACTGGAGACAATTTTAAACAATTCGTGAATTTTCGTTAATCATTCACTCTTCGGAAGTTTAATATGGCCTGATAAAAATTCCCAAATGTGAACAAAGGGGAAGACAGAGAGGGAGAGTAAACTCATGTACTCTGAAATAATATCTCACTGGAAAGAATATTTGGTTATTATTTATTGCTTCAATACGTTGCAATTAAAAATCTTTTGCTTGATTACAATCGTGACCTTTTGAATAATTAAATAACAATTATTTACTTATCACTGAGCAATCGTATTGGGCAATTGAACAATTTCCAATTACACGATATTGTATGAGTGAACATTTAAATAATCACCATCGCATGGTTACGCATTATTGGTTCTTTATATGTAGTTTTCAATGGCAGTTTCATAAAATTTCCAATATTGTTGCACCATGTTTCAATTAACACGTTTTGAATGAGTAGTTGTGAGGATTAAGGTAAAGTGAAACACCCCTCGAATCAGTCGATTCGAAAGACACTTTTTTTTAAGGGCATTGGATCGAACCGTCTGAAACTTTGTCACATTACTCGTGATCATCTAAGAATTGTCTTGACACTTTCAAAATCTGGATTTTTGAAAAAAATTGTTAAACAGCCCAGATCAGAATCAAAATGGCATCCAGCTCTCATATATTGATCAATATACAATTATTTAAGGCTTTAATATATCAAATGAAAGGGTCAGAACAATTGTACGACAATTTACAACACTCTGGCAATCAATAAACTCGCATTTGAACGGTATAATGGGAAAAAATAGTGTCTTATACGCATCTATGCTAAAACAATAGTAATACGAGGTCTCGGAGTGAAAATTTGGTTGACACGGAAATCACAGATGGCGCAGAGGGTCCCTCTGTAGTGAATTGGGGCCTTAGAAACCATGAATCCAGAGGACTTCTGGAGTTTTACTTCGATTTCTTTATAATTATTGTACGTAACGACAGGTGGAGTATGCCATTTAGTACAATACTCAATATAATTCGACACAGCTGCCAATATAGAAACGAACGTCGGCAACGGAAGTATTTAGAAAAATCTTCTTTACCGACGTCGATCAAGTTCCTCGACGTGTTTCACTTCACCTTAACAAGCGATACTCGCAACGCTAGAAGAAATCATTACGCCGACCATGATACAAGAAAAGAAATAAATATAAATTCTATTCGGTTGCCAATCATAGTATGTACGCGATACAGTACAAGCTGATCGCACCTCCAGATTTGCTTGCACTTTCTGCAGTCACGAATCGCATTTACGATGTAAAGTCGTAGAACGGCATCAAACCCTAGATCATACGGATCGTACACGTCTGTTCTTAAGGTGAAGTGAAACCCCCTTCAAATTAGTCGATTCGAATACAACACTTTTTTTTAAGGGTATTAGACCAAACTGTCCGAAACTTTGACACGTTCCTTCTGATCATCTAAGAATTGTCCTGACACATTCAAAATTTGGATTTTTCAAACAAATTTTTTAACTCAGTCCAGACCAGAACCAAAATGGCATCGAGCTCTCATATTTCGATCGATATACAATTATCGAAGGCTCTGATATGAGAAACGAAAGGGTCAGGACAATTTTACGACAATTTAGAACACTCTGGTAATCGCTAAACTCGCATTTGAACGGGATAAAGGCAAAAAAAGTGTTGTATGTGCTTCTGTGCCAAAACGATGGTAATACAAGATCTCGGAGTGAAAATTTAATTGACCTGGAAATCACAGATGGCGCAGGGGGTCCCTCTGCAGTCAATTTAGGCCCCAGAAAGCATGAATCCAGAGGATTTCTGGAGTTTTACTTGGATTTCTTTATAATTATTGTACGAAAACGATAGGTAGAGTATGTCATTTGGTACGATACCCAATATAATTCGACCCAGCTGTCCATGTAAAAACGAACGTCGGCAACGTAGGCATTTAGAAAAATCTTCTTTATCGACGTCGATCAAGTTCCTCAACGTATTTCACTTCACCTTAATACCCTAAGAATGACAGCTTTTGATTAGAATTCTCCAGTCGTGTCCATCGAGACGTTCGACCTCTCAGTTGAGCTCTGTGACTCCGATTTTAATTGTCAACGATTCGTCATGGCAGTATAGTAATGGCAGCATAGTCTGCGAGAGTTAGTTCACCGCAGGTGAGGCTCGAGAAAAGGTTGTCGTCAAACTAACGCTACACCTGGCTTTCTTACGAAAAGCATTCGTCACAGCAGATACAACTTCACCTCTGGGTGAAAGAGACGTGGGAGTTATTGCAGAAAGAGGTAGCCTCTTTTTTAAAGAGAGCCCTTTGTACCCCCATTTCTCACTCGCCAGATACTGGCTTTTTTCCGTAGAATGTTTCTTCGAAGAGATTCAACGCCCTGTGGACAAATTCGTACTGTTCCGCTGTCTGCACCATTCCACCTCGATCGTACCTAAAAAACGGACAATGCAGAGTATCACGTACAAAAGTAATCACAGTCCCCTAGTACCGCAAAATATTTCTTCTATATTTTCTATACCTTTAATGAATATCCTACATTTTGTATATATTTTAGTAGACATTTGAAATATTTGCAAAACGTTTATTTTAGAATATTATCTCTATATTAGTATAATATTAGCTCCATATGTTTTCATCATATTCTTCTACCAGATATACAAAACATTTCGTTTCATTTTTATATAAGTAGTTTTTAAATATTATCTGCCAAATACGTTATAAACGTTTTAAAAATATTTAAAATCAAAATCGTACGTTTTGCTCCCATAATGAAATAGCGATACGATAATAATTCAATAATTTTTCGTGTGTTTTTTTTACCAAATAAAGTGTCCGATAATAGTAAAATATCTATTTTTATTATATGTTCATACACTAAAAAATATAATTTCTATATATGTTTATAAATTATTGGAACTAAATATGTCATTGAGATTTTCAACAAATATTTCAGATATCTTCGAATGAAATCTACAATAAATCTTAAAAAATCTGTCGCTCGAGATATTTAACAATGATTACGAACAAATATTTAGAAATTATTCCATGCTACTAGGATAGTTACTTCACATATTTTAATTAATAATAATCATATAACCATCCATCGTATCGAATTAAGTCACGAATCATTTTGTAATACACGGTTAAGAATTTTGTTTCTTTAGCGCCGAGGCACGTAGATGTTTCATGACGAAAAGTTTCGTTTCAAAAATGTCCTTTACGCCGAAGAAGAGGACACGGTATTTTTTTTAGTGTTCCGAAAAACTTCCCCATCAGTCCAGCAATTTATTTTAGCTGCTATTCGTGAAACTCCCCTTTGTATCCAAAAACAACATTTTTTCGGAGATAGGACGCCTCCCCTTTGAACCTTTTTAGCATTGTTTTTATTGTCCCATTGCGACTCCGTTCGTTTTATTCTCCAATAACAGCACACAATTTACTAACAAGGAAGGTATCCCAGGTCGATCTCTCCGATTTTTCTTTTATAACATATTATAGTAGACTAAACACTAAGCGACACGTATTTTTTTTTTATCTGCCATTAAACACTTCAAGGGGGTGAAACCACCATCCAGATTACTTAAGCACCCTCACCGCCATCCATAGTAATAACCTATCAAACCAACAAAATAGAACCATTTTCAACATCCGTAAAATCCTAACCACCCGCGATTCCAATAATCAGCAAATACTCTTCACACGGACCCCTGCACATCGTGTTATCGCTGGCAACGTATCGGCCGATAAAGCAGCTAAGGACACCATTCACATCGGCACCCCTGCACACATTAAAATACCTTACGCAGATTTAAATCCCTTAGCTTCAAAATACGCAAATACCCTCTTTGCGAAATACATTAACAACTCCAAAAGCAGAAAGGTCTCTCAGTATTTTCACTTTTACTACAACGTATCAAAAACCCCCTGGTTCTCAAAAACCTCCACCTCCAGAGAAATTATAACTACCATCAACAGGATCCGCAGCAACCATTATTCAACTAACTATAGCCTCGCCAAAAAAATCTAACTCCACTTTAACGATGCTCCTGCGGTCACCCCATAGAAGACATTGGATCCCATCATCTGGCAATGCCCTAACTTCCAGACCCAAAGAAACACCTTAATATCCCAACTCCGCCACAATGATTACCGCCCACCGCTCTCCACGACTTACCTGATTACAAAACAGCCCTCCACCATCCCGTACCTCACCTCGTTTCTAAAAAAATCCATCTTAAAAATCTGACAATTCAAATTGCCCACCCGTACCGAGTGGTTCACCCATGAACAAAAACTACCAATTAGGCTGTAGGGTCGAAAACCGACTGATGCCAACTGTGGAGATGAAGCAGACGAAGAAGACGATGCCCACCCGTACCGAGTGGTTCACCCATGAACAAAAACTACCAATGGCTGTAGGGTCGAAAGCCGACTGATGCCAACTGTGGAGATGAAGAAGACAAAGAAGACGAAGAAGACGAAGAAGAACCAAAGGCGTCGAACCTTGATACGGCGAGTAGAGTGGGATACCACACATCTTGACCTCTTGTAATGGCAAGATGTGTGGTATCCGGTAGGTCAGACCCACCCTCTTGCGTAAAAGCTACCCAAACCCGCGCAGATCGAGCCTCCGTTTTCTAAACACGCGAGATGGATCTTTTGCACGCCTAAATGACTCTACCTGTGTTCTGACGAGGTCATGAAGGGATAAGCCGATGCTACTCCGCCTGGCGGTTGATCGTCCCCCTCCCCCCAGACTATTTCACCAATCCGCGCGCTATGCATGCGCACCAAGTAGAATAAATTTCCTTCAATGTAATAGTAGTAAACGGTCAAGCCGCGTCGATACACCTGTTCTCGCAAGATCACCGAAGTTAAGCGACGTCGGGCGCGGTCACACTCCTTGGATGGGTGACCATCAAGGAGGGGCATCGCGTAGCGTTGGTGAAATAAAAACAATGGTACTTGGCCCTTAGTCGAAATCCAAATAAACAACAACAATATAATAGTATATAAAAAATAAGGAGCGATGAAATTAATCAATCGTGTTGCAATAATTATAATGAAATCAGTCAGTCGTGTTGCAATTAATATAGTGAAATCCATGAAAATAAAATAAAAACTAAATGTAACTAAGTGAAGAAAAAATTAGAAATACTATTTCGAAACATTTTATTTGGCGATAACCCAAAGTGTACTAGTAGGACTTGTCATCGGTATTTTCGTGCTTGGCAAAAAATGTTTTCAAATAAAATTTCCAATTCTTCCTTTATTTGGTTACATTTAGTTTTTAATTTTTTCATTTGATTAAATGAAATAGAAAAGTATGTGTATTTCTACAAACACGAGTTTGGGAGAAAACGTAAGTTTTGGAACAGATGTACATGTATTACGTGGAGCAAAATCTATTACATTTGGAAACATAAAAGTTTCTAAAACGAAAAGCGATTGAACTTATTTTTATAACCGAAAACGGAAACAAGAATGTATATAGCGAAGTTTTTCTGTATACGCGAGGTGTTTTGTTGGGGAGATTTAAGATTTTCCGCAAAGTAAATGAAAAATAAGGGGATATTTACCTCATTTGGCATAGTATACCAAGGACGTCGACGTTTCCGTCTCTCGACAGCTGCATCATTCCCGTAGCTAAAGCTATGAAACACCCGGTCCTGCCGATACCCGCACTACAATGCACAACTACAGGTCCTGGTAAAGAGTTGACCTCGACAGCCAAGCCTACCAATGCGTCTGCGGCTTGTGGCACGGCATGGTCAGGCCAAGAGTCAAACCTGTGGACCAAATTATAAATTGCAGTATTTCGGAATCTAAGACAGTCGCTACTCTATAACCAGGCAGATCAGACCAAACCAGACCCAATTATATCGGATCAGTTTCAACAGAAACAAACGTATTACTTCTTATGTACGTGGCTACGCTGGCCGGAATCTGATCCGATTTGATCTGACAGGCGTAGTGTCGCCACATCCATAAGAAGTAATGTAATGCCGTCATTTAGAGATAGTCTAAGATTTCCTAAATGCATGTGGGTTCGGAGAACTGCAGGTGAAAAAAGATCTTTTCATCCACGGGAACGGAGTCCGATGATGATGGAAGAGGACCATTGCGCTCAGCGCCACGAGAACGAGGAGGCCCATCTCCCTACGGGAAACCTTCTCGAACTTAGAATTAAGGTGAAGTGAAACACGTCGATTAACTTGATCAACGTCCATAAAGAAGATTTTTCTAAATGCCTGGGTTGCCGACGTTCGTTTTTATATCGACAGCTATACCGAATTATATTGGGTATTGTACCAAATGGCATACTCCACCTGTCGTTTTCGTACAATAATTATCAAGAAATCGAAGTAAAACTCTAGAAATCCTCTGGATTCATGCTTTCTGGGGCCCTAATTGACTGCAGAGAGACCCCTTGCGCCATCTGTGATTTCCAGGTAAATTAAATTTTCACTCCGAGACCTCGTATTACCATCGTTTTAACATAGAAGCGTATACAACACTTTTTTTGCCCTTATCCCGTTCAAATGTGAGTTTATCGACTATCAAAGTGTTCTAAATTGTCGTAAAATTGTCCTGACCCTTTCGATTCTCATATCAGAGCCTTCGATAATTATATACTGATCGAAATGTGAGAGATCGACGCCATTTTGGTTCTGGTCTGGGCTGAGTTAAAAAATTCTTTTCAAAAATTCAAATTTTGAATGTGTCAGGACAATTCTTAGATGATCAAAGATGATCAAAGATGTGTCAAAGTTTCGGACAGTTTGGTCTAATACCCTTAAAAAAAAGTGTTGTATTCGAATCGACTGATTTGATGGGTGTTTCACTTCACCTTAAGTCAGTCCTACTCTAGACCCCGAACCTGTCAGATCACAACGCTAAAACGTGAACATAATAAGAACGAGGTCGAATGCCAAGAAAGGGTCAACCATTCTTCGAGAAGAATCCCACCACCCTCCACAGCACAACAGTAACACGTTTCTTTCTATCGGAATTGATTGGTCTGATCTGGTCTGGTCTAGTCTGACCTAGCCGGCTGTAGTGTAGTGACATTCTAACTTATTCCATTAACTTAGATATCTTTACCAGACATGCTTTCTCAACATTTATAGCACAATTCGTAATACAATTATCTTCCAGGAAATATCATCCGGTGATGATGATATTGGCATTGTAATGTATACAGGGTATAATTCACGCACCAGTAATGTTGAACAATTCTCCTCTCGCCTTCGAGACGAATTTCCAAGTCTCTGACCGTGTAACCATCTTTGACATCAACGGAGTTAACGATAACTGTGAATGCGCCAGCCTGTACCCGGGTATTCTTTTCCAATGGGAAGTAAGCGTCACACTTAGTCTTGGCAGCTTCGTGTAGCCTTGTCATCATGACTACCACAGTTGCTCTTTCCGCCCAAACCATTCTCCAAAAGTCACCTATGGTATGAGTCAATGGTCCCTGTGTTGCTATATAGCGTGCTTCTTCCCCGTCATATCCCTACGAGAAGTTCATTATTAGCTTCGGAGAATGAATTTAATATATAAATAGAAATAAGCGAGTAGTTTCAAATAATTCCGACATCCAGCAATTAGTTTTTCACTGCGGAATTAAAAATAACAGTCATTGGCTATTTTTATCAATAGTGAAAAATCATTTAAGGTGACGTGAAAGCAGCGTCAAAGAGGTCTCGTTTATGAAACTTCTCTCCGAACTGGGTGTACCGAATCATTTTAAATTTTACAGCATGAATATGCAGACTATAAGGAAGGTCTCAAAACTCATGAAATTTCATTTTTTTTTAATTTGTTTATAGGTATTTTTAAAATTTGGTGTAAGAAATGAAATTTCATGAGTGTCAGGGCCTTCTTCATAGACTCCATATCCACATTGTAAAATTTGAAACGATTCAGTACATCTTGTTGAACGAAAAGTTTCATGAACGATTAACTCCTCGGATGCCACTTTCACATCCCCTTAAATAGTTAGCGCTTTATGTTGGGACAATTCAAGATAGTGGAAATACATATGTACTGTAAATTCAACGCAAATAAAGACATCGTCTTGAGTTATGCCTCTCTTGCAGAGTGGGAGGTTAACAAAATTGGGATTCTCAAATCAGAAAATCGTATGAGAGGAGTAATGTTGGAAATTCAGAAAATACTTGAATTTTCTCCGGAAAAAAAAAAATGTGAACGAGGGATTCCTCCAATGCCGATTGGTTAACTCACTTGGACGTGTAAAATATTTAGGTACCGCCTTTTACCGCGTCTTCGAGTGTCCCAGGTGATTCGCACATGGGGTGACCCGAGATCGACAAGAGTTGCCCGAGCACAGAAAATTTCAAGTACCATTAGGTGATCGAACACTCGGGCGCCTTGGTGTCAACCTTTTTATGCGTTTATTAGGGCTTGACCAATTGAAACTGGAAATTTAGCAAATCCAAGGACCTTTAACTACTTGCGCTATAAAGACATGCCACGCACGTCGAGATGCTTTTGTTCCAAAACTGCCAGCGACATGTATACCACGTCGTTAGGCATTTGTCGTAGAAACAAAATCGACGTGTCCGGCACGTCGGCTAACAGTTGGATCGTTCATTATTCGAGCTACAGTTCCAGAGTGCACGACATCGCGTAGCGTCATCGATATCTTGGAAATATTTCAGAATCGATAGGGTATGTTGTACGAATGTTATGCCGCATGTTATATTGTAGAGCGTGGCACGGCAACCGAAAATTAAATCGTAGCGCAAGTGGTTAAGAGTGAATTAAACCATTAGGTGATCGAACACTCGGGCGCCTTGGTGTCAACCTTTTTATGCATTTATTAGGGCTTGACCATTTGAAACTGGAAACTTAGCAAATTCAAGGATCTTTCAGAGTGAATTAAACCGTGAGCGTTAAACAACATACGTCACTCGGTTTGACGTTTTAAATAAATTGCTGCGACCGTAGTAAAGCGATAACGAAACGCGAAGGAAAGTTGTTTTCGGCATTGGGGCTAAAATCCTGAGAATTAGAGAAATCTGATTAGGTTGAAATTAATGCGTCACGATGAATGTACGCAACACCGGAAATGAAATTACCCGAATATAATTGGCGTTAATGTAGCTGGCGAGAGGGTCGTCAGATCCTGGCAATACGACCCTGGACTGAGGATTAGGCAACACCGAGCAGTAGCGGTTCTTGACTCCGGAACCACAAATGTCCACTTTATCAGGTAGATTGAGAGGAACTTCCCAAAACTCTCTGTGCAGCGAAGAAGGATCTCTGAGGACTTTTTTGAGCTGAGCTCTCGACAGAACGTTTCCGGCACTTAGGAGGAACTCTTCTGCTGTACATTCGCGAGTTGGAGTGACAACATGCGGTGGACTGTCAGGTGCTGGTGCGAGTTCTATCGTCAAGCTTGCACTGGACCCTCGACGTTCCAACAGACCTTTGGCTTTTATTCGAGTTGGCTCTGGTCTCCTTTCAGGGGTCGCAACAAAGGATGTCACCGGCTGAAACATCATTCATTTATTAAGTCTTATTTAAAATGCATTACTTGATACTTAATACTCTTAAGGTGAAGCGAAACACGTCAAAGAACTTGATCCACGTCGGTAAAGAAGATTTTTCTAAATGCCTCCTTATTTAAAATGCATTACTTGATACTTAATACTCTTAAGGTGAAGCGAAACACGTCAAGGAACTTGATCCACGTCGGTAAAGAAGATTTTTCTAAATACCTCCTTATTTAAAATGCATTACTTGATACTTAATACTCTTAAGGTTTAGCGTAACACGTCAGGGAATTTGATCAACGTCGGTAAAGAAGATTTTTCTAAATACCTCCGTTGCCGACGTTCGTTTTTATATTGACAGCTGTGTGGAATTATATTAGGTATTGTACTAAATCACAGATGGCGCAGGGTGCCCCTCTGCAGTCAATTAGGGCCTCGGAAACCATGAATCCAGAGGATTTCTGGAGTTCTACTTCGATTTCTTTATAATTATACTAAGAAAACGACAGGTGAAGTGTGCCATTTAGTATAATACCGAATTTCATTCGACACAGCTGTTAATATAGAGACGAACGTCGGCGACGTAGGTATTTAGAAAAATCTTCTTTACCGACGTCTATCAAATTCCTCGACGCGTTTCACTTCACCTTAATGTTAATGTACCGCCCGCACAACAATATTGTATTGAAATACTGAAATACAAACGGTTCACGCTAGTACCTCTGGCAAATCAGACTTCTGTGCAACGGGGACAATAGGTTGGGCCGATACCGGTGGTTTCATAACTGCTGGGCAAACCCACTGAGCTTCCACAAGGTTATCCTTATTTTCCTTCGACGACTTTTCGGGTGGACACGCCGCACCCTCTTCTACCAGTCCTCGCCTGTCACCATCTTCTGTGTCCTTTTCACGCGACATTTGCTTCCGAAGCCATAAGAGGATCTAAACAAAAAATGTCACTTATTAATGCTCACTATTTCAAATTTATATCTTATTGCGTAACATGTACAACGTTGCGCAATTTATTGTTTTAAGTCAAAGATAAGTTGAAAAACAATGTACAGTGTCGGATATGAATACCATCTCTGTACATCAACGCAATGTGTGACGGGAAGGCATTTATGTCCGTCGTTAAACATCTCAAGAAGACTTCTAAAAATATGTATTTTTACTTTCCTGTATTCGTTAAGATGATATGAAAGACGCTGAGAAATTTAATCGACGTCGATAAAATAAAATGCATCTATACCCTTTTTCATGGTAACGTCATTTTGAATACTCAAGTGGTAACATAGGCTGGCGCGTCACGTTACCGACATTTATATGTTCAAGTATTTTACAGTCTACGTTGAGAATTATACGAAATAAAGCGTTCCATGTGTCATTTAGGTAAAGTAATGATAAAGAAATCGATGGAATACTGTTGAAATCCCGGGAATTCATAACTTTTCAATTTTAAGGGGCCAACGTCGCCATCTGTGACGTTTAGTTGCAACTAAATTTCTGCTCTGAAAATATGTGTTAGCCCCGAAACAAGCCGTTCTCTTTCAATCGTTCGTTAAAGTATTTTCCACATTTTCCGGTATTTTAAATTGTTCGAGTTAGGTCCTGAAACTCTTGATTCTCGATTCTAAGCCTCCAAGAAGCGTAAAACATCGAAAACGTGCACGGATCACGCCATGTTGGTTCGAGTCGATGCTAAGTAAATACATTGTCGATGAAAAATGGAATGTCATGAGTTTCAGGACCTATTTTAGAGCCTCCATATTTACGTGGTAAAATTCGAAACGAATCGGTACCCCCAATTTGGAGAATACTTTCCCCAATAATTAGACTTCTCAAATATACATTTATAGACTGACTCTTTCATATCATCTTAATTGAGCCCCGTTTCATCCCTGACCCTCAAAATAGAACTTTGTATAAATTATTGACATAAATTATGATATAAAGATTAAGATTTTTAAGATTCTCCTTTTTATAAATACAATAATGCAACGTATTCAACTTTTTAATATATTTCCCAATTGTTAGGTTGAACCGAGAAATTTGTAGATAACAAAAGAGTGCAGAGAGTTCATCGAAAACGCATGAACTTCTCGTTCGACTCAATAGTTTTACTTTGCCTTTCTCCAATGAGAAGTAGTATGAAGATTTTCAGGTCTAGCCTGTATAAAGCGGAATAACTTCCATTCTGAGATTTTTCAATCTGTAATTCAATTGAAACTTGAACTTCGATTCAATTCTATTGGACTTGAAGGTTTTAATGAGAAAAATGAACTCTGAGGTTTTTATTACCCCTAACTAACTGAGGCTGAAATTTCTGTCGGCTAATTGATCGATAAAAAGAATAGAGGAATTAAAGTTTCACCCGAGAGCGATAATTTCAACTCGGATTCTGATCGTACCCTGGCGACATCTATCCACACATGGAGGGACGAAATTTGTATTTTTAGCAAAAGACAGCATTGCTGATAAAATTTTACTTTCACTGCAGGGATAATTGCACTAACAGCAAAAATGTTTGCAATTATATCGGACGTAGATATAACCATTGGAGAGTCTTCAATAGAAAAAAAGCTTCTCAAATTTACAAATGAATTTGTCGTAACGACTAAAAGAAATATCGTTATCGTTATTAGAACCAATGAGCGATATACAATTTGGTCTTGCTAGAGAAGAATATTTTAACCGTGAATAGAATTTGTGTTGTCGGTACAACAAAAATGTTTCCGGTAAAAAATGTAGTTAGCCCATTGTCACGCGTTAACATTTGTTAAAATAAGTGAAATTTCTTGTTTTGACTGTGAATTCCTTTTTTGCGCACAGGGAAGACGTTCGCGTCCACCAGGATGCATGCTTGCTTCCTGATTCTATTCTTACCTAAACCGATCTCTCTTGTGACGACGAAGCTTAGCGAAAACCAATGCCAGGGCATAATTACCAAGAAAGTGAAGAGTAAAGCACCAACAAGGGCGCAGAGCACTACGAAGAGGGGCAATTGCCAATCCAGCCATGATAGAGTTGCGGTGGACCTAACCTCCTCACCGGGCCGGGTACCGAGCTGAGCTGGTTGTAGGTCCATTCCAGCATCATCCAGTCCCGTTGAGGACTGCCGGATCCTGCAAAAAGACCAAAAATGGTTAACCCTTTGCACACAAGAGGCGACTCTCGGCCACCATTTGGTTTGATGCGGCAACGCAAGAGGTTAAATCAAACGTTTGTTCAACTAAAATACATCATTCGTTAAAATGAAACGTTTACTGAATTCAAATCAAGCAAATCATTGAATTACATCAAAGAAATATGGTCAATCGACAAATATGTTTGAATCGAATATATACTTGTTCGACTGTATAACAAAGAAACACTCGGTTTCATTCAAACATATTTGTTAAACATTTATTGAATTCAAATCGAGTAAATAATTGGCTTAAATGAAACGTTTGTTCAACTAAAATAAATCATTCTTATTCAAACATATTTGTTAAACATTTATTGAATTCAAATCGAGTAAATAATTGGCTTAAATGAAACGTTTGTTCAACTAAAATAAATCATTCTTTTAAATGAAACATTTATTGAATTCAAATCGAGCAAATAATTGGCTTAAATGAAACGTTTGTTCAACTAAAATAAATCATTCTTTTAAATGAAACATTTATTGAATTCAAATCGAGCAAATCATTGAATTACATCAAACAAATATGGTCAATCGACAAATATGTTTGAATCGAATATATACTTGTTCGACTTTATAACAAAGAAAAAATCGGTTTCATTGAAACATATTTGTTAAACATTTATTGAATTCAAATCGAGCAAATAATTGGCTTAAATGAAACGTTTGTTCAACTAAAATAAATCATTCCTTTAAATGAAACATTTATTGAATTCAAATGAAGCAAATCGTTAGATTACATCAAACAAATATGGTCAATCGACAAATATGTTTCAATTAAATATATGCTTGTTCGACTGTATAACAAAGAAAAAATCGGATTCACTCAAACATATTTGTTAAACATTTATTGAATTCAAATGAAGCAAATCATTTGATTACATCAAAGAAATATGGTCAATCGACAAATATCCACGCAAGAAATCCACGGGAGCATCCCGCAAAGGTAATCCTTTAGTTCTAGCATGGAAAGACAAAAGGATCGTCACATCTTTGACCACTTGGAATAATGCGGGAATAAGTCCCGTCAAAAGTATTTTACGAGGTGGGGTTGAACTTCCTGTCAAGAAAACCAACGTTATCATAAACTATATAAAATATATGAGCGACGTTACTCGAGCGGACGAACATGCCTCGACATCCTGTTTTCCAAGAAAGTCCTTAAAATGATGGTTGAAGCTATTTTTGGGAGGTTATGAGATTTGTTAGGTTAATTCTTATATTCTTTACAAATGAATAAAAAAGCAGAGAAATGGACAGCCGCTTAAGGTGAAGTGAAACACGTCGAGGAACTTGATCGACGTCGATAAAGAAGATTTTTCTAAACACCTACGTTGCCGACGTTCGTTTTTATATTGACAGCTGTGTCGAATTACATTGAATATTGTACCAAATGGCATACTCCACCTGTCGTTTTCGTACAATAAATATCAAGAAATCGAAGTAAAACTCCAGAAATCCTCTGGATTCTAGCTTTCTGGGGCCCGAATTGACTGCAGAGGGACACCCTGCGCCATCTGTGATTTCCAGGTCAATTAAATGTTCACTTCGAGACCTTGTGTTACCATCGTTTTAGCATAGAAGCGCATACAACACTTTTTTTGCCCTTATCCCGTTCAAATGCGAGTTTATCGATTACCAGAGTGTTCTAAATTGTCGTAAAATTGTCCTGACTCTTTCGATTCTCATCTCAGAGCCTTCGATAATTGTATATTAATCGAAAAATGAGAGCTCGACGCCATTTTGGTTCTGGTCTGGGCTGAGTTAAAAAATTTTGTTAAAAAATCCAAATTTTGAATGTGTCAGGACAATTCTTAGATGATCAGGAGTGATGTGTCAAAGTTTCGGACAGTTTGGTTTAATACCCTTAAAAAAAAGTGTCGTATTCGAATCGACTGATTTGAAGGGTGTTTCACTTCACCTTAATCATCTGCAGGATGGAGAAAACATTGATTGGCCAATTGAGAGGAGATTTCCGCGAGACTCGGGATCGAGCTTCTACTTCGACCTCTAGTTTCGACGGAATTCGATCGAATGGAAAGCTACATGTCATTCTAACAGGAGTTAAGAAGGATTGCAAGGTTTGCTCTCAACGAAATAAGCTCGGCGAAAGACATCAAACAACATATTACTGCAACAATTGCCCCGACAAGCCGAGGATGCATCTTGACGATTGTCTTGTAAAATACCATACAAAAAAACGATACAGTCCTTAATATTTAACAAATTTTCTTCTTTCACATGTAAGAAAACATAAAATATTAAAATATAATAGTTTTTCACGTTAATTTGTACGTGAAATCATTTTAAGTTAGCTGGATGAGATTCACCAAGTATGCGGAAAATCGTCTCGAGTTGCTGGTTCGTCCGGGTTAAAAAGGCTTCGAGGGCAAAAGGTTAATATCCGGCTCACCCATTGAGATAACCAATATCTAATTGAAATGTTATCGATTAACGTGCTTAATGACAATACTTGCCTGTGATGGGATCGAGCAGACATCCCCTTGGTATCCGGCAGCACGGAAACCTGCAACCCCGTGTCTGCACGCCACCTTTGTTCGGTAATTAGGTAGAATCTTTCCAGAGCGCTAGGTTTATAGTCATTGTTGATGGAATTATCGTTATAACTAGCATCTCTGATGTAACGATGCGTCAAGGGGGTACTCGATCCACCTGTTCACAAAATAGAACGGTAATTAGTGCACCTGCATACACATAAATAATGAGCGATATGCACAGACACGCAGCAGAAATTTTCATGGCATTTCATTTTGCATACAAAATTTATCGATTTATCACGGACTAGAACCAACATGGCGTGGTCCGTACACATTTTCGATGTTTTACGCTTCTTGGAGGCATAGAATCGAAAATGAGGAATTTCAGGACCTAGTTCGAACAATTTAGAATACCGTATAAATGGAATATTACAGAGTTAGGTAGGAAAATGTGGAAAATACTTTCACGAACGATTGAAAGAGAATGGCTTGTCTCGGAGCTAACAGATGTTTTTAGAGCAAACATTTAGTTGCAGCTAAACGTCATAGATGGCGACGTTGGTCCTAAGCAGTCGTTAAAATAACGAATTCACGGGATTTCGACAGTTTTACATCGATCTCTTCGTCATTACTTTACCGAAATTACACGTGGAACGCTTCAGTTCGTACAATTCTCAATGTAGACTGTAAAAGACTTCATCATAAATATAAATGTCGGTAACGGGGCGCGCTAGCTTATGTTACCGATTGAGTATTCAAAATGTTGTTCCCACCAAAAAGCGTGTAAATGAATTTTAATTTGTCGACCTCGATTGAATTTCTCAGCGTCTGTCATATCATGTTAAGGTTATATGAGTATTACATATGCATACCAAAAAGTCAAATTATTTATAATACTTTTCTCCAAACTGGGTGCACCAAATTATGTAAAACTGTAACACGTCATTATAGAAGCTCTAAAGAAGAACACGCTGCCCGTGAGATTTTATTATTCGAAAAAAAAATTTCTCTTTTTGGTTGTTGTCCGAGATAAGTACAACATTTTTTGCGAAAATTGAAATTTTATAATTCGTATGTTCAACACGATGAAGAAATCTTAGATTTGTGAACGATTCGTCGAACCTACCCACTGAACACCAAACCTAACAGTTACGTAACTTAAAACTAACAAATAACATAACGTTTGTTGCAATGTAATAGCCTAGCAGTTACGTAACATAGAGGTAACTAGTTACATGACATTTGTTACAATGCAGGAACTTAACAGTTATGTAACGTGGAGCTAACAGGTTACATAACATTTGTTACTATCGTATCTATATAAATGTAGCGTAACTTTGTTACTCTTATCTTACATTATGTTATTGTCCTGATATTACTGTGTATATGCAGCAAATATTTGTAACAATACAGAATTACATTAGTGCTGTCATCTATTTTATTACATCATCGTCATCGTCATTGTCATAATTAATCGTCAAATGTCATAAGATTAATATATGTCTTATTTTGTTTACTATTTCGATGAAAAAAAGGGATTTTAATTGGTACGCGCATATACATTATCAGTAATTGTTTGCTAGTCGAATGAAATCATAATAGTCTTTAAGTAAAATCAGATAGTTTATCATTTACATAATTTTATTGAAATTCTGATTTGTCATTTAATATCTATCTATTGTCAAGTACCACAAAATAATTAAAAATAATAAATTATATAATTTTGGATAAAACTGCGTTATTTTCTGTTAATAAATGTATGAAAAATTAATATTATTTTAAGGTAACTGAAATTATAACATTAATATAACATGTTACCTTACCGAGTGGGAAATAATAACTAACATCTAACTTCCATGTTACTTTTATGCTACATAACGCGTTAGTTTCGAAAACGTAACATTTACCCAATTGTTATATAACAGTGTTCACTGGGTATGTGCAAAGTACGCCGCTGGATTCGAATGGATTTGAACTAGATACAATTGTTATAATAAATAAGTTACGAAAAATATTTAAAGAGGTAAAATGATAATCGTATATAATAAAAAGCATAATAAATCGATTACTTGCATCTTATTCGTTTTTCCAAAAGTTATGAACATTTTCTTTTCCCTATTTTTCTGCAGGCAAAATATTCTTCACAATAACGAATTAATCAAAATGTTCATCTTCACCCGATATATATGTATAATTGCGATACGACTAGAATCTTTTGTAGGAAGCTCGATTAATATGCACATTTCATCGCGTTAACCATTTTAGATATTAACGCTTACGATCAAAGAATTTCACGCACTATATGAATACTCCCCTAATCGATTCATGCGACTCATTAACTTAATAGTTCGACATGTTTTGTTTATAATTACGGTGACGTGAAAGTGGCGGCAAAGAGATTTTGTTTATGAAACTTTTCTCCGAACTGAGTGTACGGAATCGTTACAAACATTACCATGTAATTGTAGAGGCTGTAAGGAAGGTTCTGACAACCACTAAATTTCAAGTCTTCTCAAATTTGTTTACAGACATTTTTAAATTTTATATAAAATAATTTAATTTTGTGGATGTCAAGACCTTCCATATAGCCTCCATATTCACGTTGTAAAGTTTAAACAATGCGGCACACCCAGAGTGGAGAAAATTTTTATGAACGATTGAGCCCTCATATGCCACTTCCACATCCATTTAAGATGAAGTGAAACACGCAGAAGAACTTGATCGACGTCGGTAAACAGGGTTTTTCTAAATACCTACTTTGCCGACGTTCGTTTTTATATTGACAGCTGAGTCGAATTATATTGTGTATTGTACCAAATGGCATATTCCACCTGTCGTTTTCGTACAATAATTATAAAGAAATCGAAGTAAAACTCCAGAAATCTTCTGGATTCATGCCTTCTGGGGCCCTAATTGACTGCGGAGGGACCCCCTGCGCCATCTGTGATTTTCGTGTCAACTAAATTTTAGGTAATTAGGTATTAGGCCTTAAGGTGAAGTGAAACACCCTTCAAATCAGTCGATTTGAATACAACAGTTTTTTTTAAGGGTATTAAACCAAACTGTCCGAAACTTTGACACATCACTCCTGATCATCTAAGAATTGTCCTGACACATTCAAAATTTTGATTTTTTAACAAAATTTTTTAACTCAGCCCAGACCAGAACCAAAATGGCGTCGAGCTCTCATATTTCGATCAATATACAATTATCGAAGGTTCTGATATGAGAATCGAAAGGGTCAGGACAATTTTACGACAATTTAGAACACTCTGGTAATCGATAAACTCGCATTTGATCGGGATAAGGGCAAAAAAAGTGTTGTATGCGCTTCTATGCTAAAACGATGGGAATACGAGATCTCGGAGTGAAAATTTAATTGACATGAAAATTACAGATGGCGCAGGGGGTCCCTCTGCAGTCAATTGGGGCCCCAGAAAGCTTGAATCCAGAGGATTTCTGGAGTTTTACTTCGATTTCTTGATACTTATTGTACGAAAACGACAGGTGGAGTATGCCATTTGGTACAATATTCAATGTAATTCGACACAGCTGTCAATATAAAAACGAACGTCGGCAACGTAGGCATTTAGAAAAATCTTCTTTATCAACGTTGATCAAGTTCCTCGACATGTTTCACTTCACCTTAACTTCATAAACGGAGCCGCGCTATGGACCAGGGCAGGGCAGGGCAGATCAGGTCACATGAAACACGCACGCTAAAAGCGCGAGCGAGGAGAACGGATCAGCCAGAGATCAGATGCGATCGGACCGGCGGAGAGGAAGGAAGCAGCCTGGAGTGGCGCAAAGTGGGGGCCAAGTACGCGGCAGATACGAGCCAATGAGAGCAAAGCAGCTGGCTCGAGCGGATACGGAACGGACACGGAGAGCGGATGAATAGACCTCTGACTCGCGGCGTGACTCACCTCGAGAGCGAGAGCGAGAACGAGAACGAGAGCGAGCGCGTGCGTGGACCATGCATCACTGGTAGTGGTCGCAGCCGCAAACACGACGACCCGAACGAGGAACATCCTGTTTTCGCCCGAGGTCCGCACGAGCAAAAAATGCGTCGGAGCATATCACATCGCCGAGGATAATACCCCGTTGACTCTACTTTCCCGATTTCTGCACATCGCCGACTGCGTAATCGGATCGACGTCGAGACGAACACATGGATGATGGAACGCTGTTAGCTCCCGACCTAACCGTCATTATTATAATATTAATTCTTAGATTAATCTACGTATCTAGGGCATAAGTATATTCCTAAGAAACCCGCTCCAAATAAATGTCAACTAGTACCCTGCCCTCGCTTATTCTTATCCTTGTCCACAATGAGTCCACGAACTACTCCAAAACCTTCGATCGGAAAACATCCCGTGATTTCCCCAATTTCCCCAAAAAAATCAGAATATTCATGCATTTCCTCGAAAACCGATTATTCCTATCCAACTATCCTCGACGAATCACTGGAGAGAATTCCCTCCTGAACCTACGATCCGACCAATGAGTTTTTAGATTTAATAGGCGTACGTGATCTTGACTAAGATGATGTGAAACTGGCGTCAAAGAGGTATCGTTTATGAAACTTTTCTCCCAACTCGGTGAACCGAATCGTCTCAAACTTGACAATGTGAACACGAAGGCTATAAGGAAGGTCCCGAAACCCGGGAAATATCATTTTTAAGATAATTTGTTTATAGCTATTTCCAACAATTTTAATAACAAATGAAATTTCGCCAGTTTCAGGACCTGCCTTAGGGTCCTTTTATTCATGCGATAAAATTTGAAACAAATTGGTACACCCAATTCGGAGAAAAGTTTCATGAACGATTGACCCCTAAGATGCCACTTTCACATCCCCTTAATAAAAGAATAGAGCTAAGCGCGCCTCGCGTCCAGAAGTCAGAAAGTCAGAAGTCCGAATGCCTCGGAGTCTAAGAAGCAGCCAATATTCGAAGCACCGCGACTTTGTCCCTCGAACTCACGTACTCGTCTGAAAGTCGAACCATCTACAATAAACTACTTTGCTATCCTCGAACTCGACCAAGTCTTTGGTTGGTTTCATCCATTTGGAGGCTAATACTTTTCAACGTCCCACGTAACTCGGTCCAGCCGACGATCGCCAAGGATCGCCTGAATTTCCTGAGCCAAAGCCTCTACGACCTAACAGTACTCGGAACGACCTATTACAAATACGATCACAGATAAAATTCTACTAATTCTTCTAAATGAAATGCCGTGTTTTCTTTTTCAGGCACGTGGCAGCAGGTGTACGTTACCGGTAACAATCTTATCAACGAGTACAACGAACCGAACGTTGCATACCTCGTTAACGCTCATAGTTCATACATGACCAGAAACCCATCGATACGGGTAACGCGTCGAATTAATATTTCACTTATTTTCTTTTTCCTAATCCCAAGTGTCATCAAAGACCTAAAAATGAAGAACATACGGCATGGTTTACTGTAAACGGAAAAGGAGCATCAAGAAGCTTGGTGAAATTTCGAGCCAATTACGTTTGAGCGAGCAACTCGAAACGCCGAGTGCTGAGATCTGCGCTGGGCACGCTTAAGGTGAAGTGAAACACGTCGAGGAACTTGATCGTCGTCGATAAAGAAGATTTTTATAAATGCCTACGTTGCCAACGTTGGTTTTTATATTGACAGCTGGGTCAAATTATATTGGGTATTGTACCAAATGGCATATTCCACCTGTCGTTTTCGTACAATAATTATAAAGAAATCGAAGTAAAACTCCAGAAATCCTCTGGATTCATGCCTTCTGGGGCCCTAATTGACTGCGGAGGGACCCCCTGCGCCATCTGTGATTTCCAAGTCAATTAAATTTTCACTCCGAGACCTCGTATTACCATCGTTTTGGCAAAGAAGCGCATACAACCCTTTTTTTGCCTTTATCCCGTTCAAATGCGAGTTTATCGATTACCAGAGTGTTTTAAATTATCGTAAAATTGTCCTGACCCTTTCGATTCTCATATCAAAGCCTTCGATAATTGTATATTGATCGAAATATGAGAGCTCGACGCCATTTTGGTTCTGGTCTGGACTGAGTTAAAAAATTTTTTTGAAAAATCCAAATTTTGAATGTGTCAGGACAATTCTTAGATGATCAGGAGTGATGTGTCAAAGTTTCGGACAGTTTGGTCTAATACCCTTAAAAAAAAGTGTTGTATTCGAATCGACTGATTTGAAGGATGTTTCACTTCACCTTAATGTACTTGAACTTTTGTAAGTTGAGACCTTCCAGAAATCGCTTCTGTCGCTTCTATTCGCAAACAATGCTCTCATCTGAATTGACATCTTTTCAAAATACGATATAATAAAAGTGGATGTATTTTATTCTTTTAAAAATTGACGTCAATGTCATGATTTACTTTTCAACGTCAAATAACACCACGTGTTAAATTCTGTCGAAAGTTACAAAATCGTGCACCTTCAAAATACATAAATACGTCATATAAAGATTAAAGTTTGAATTATATTTTGCACGATTTAAAACATTCTCCTTATCGATATTTTACATCCCATATCGTGAAAATGATGTAACCCGTTCGGATAATATTCTGTGTACGAATTAAGGAGATATGAAAGAGTCAGCCAATACATATCTGAAAAGTCAAATAGTTGATGGAAGTATTCTCCGAATTGAATGTTATCAAATTTTACCACACGAATATAGAGGCCCTAAAATAGGTCCTGACACTCATGACATTTCATTTTACATACAAAATTTATCGATTTATCACGAACTAGAACCAACATGGCGTGGTCCGTACACATTTTCGATGTTTTACGCTTCTTGGAGGCATAGAATCGAAAATGAGGAATTTCAGAACCTAACTCGAACAATTTAGAATACCGTATAAATGGAATATTACAGAGTTAGGTAGGAAAATGTGGACAATACTTTCACGAACGATTGAAAGAGAATGGCTCGTCTCGGAGCTAACAGGTGTTTTTAGAGCAAACATTTAGTTGCAGCTAAACGTCATAGATGGCGACGTTGGTCCTAAGCAGTCGTTAAAATAACGAATTCACGGGATTTCGACAGTTTTACATCGATCTCTTCGTCATTACTTTACCGAAATTACACGTGGAACGCTTCAGTTCGTACAATTCTCAATGTAGACTGTAAAAGACTTCATCATAAATATAAATGTCGGTAACGGGGCGCGCTAGCTTATGTTACCAATTGAGTATTCAAAATGTTGTTCCCACCAAAAAGGGTGTAAATGAATTTTAATTTGTCGACCTCGATTGAATTTCTCAGCGTCTGTCATATCATGTTAAGGTTATATAAGTGTTACATATGCTTACCAAAAAGTCAAATTATTTATAATACTTTTCTCCAAACTGGGTGCACCAAATGATGTAAAACTTTAACACTTTTGTCATTATGGAAGCTCTAAAGAAGAACACGCTGCCCGTGAGATTGTATTTTTCGAAAAAAAAATATCTCTTTTTGGTCGTTGTCCGAGACAAATACAACATTTTTTGCGAAAAATTAAAATTTACGGGCAGCGCGTTCTTCATCAGAGCCTCCATAATCACGTGTTAAAGTTTCGGATAATTCGGTGCACCCAGTTAGGAGAAAAGTTTTATCAATATTTTGACTTTTTGTTATGTATATATCGCACTTTCATATCACCTTAAGCGCTTCACTGCTTCGAAAACAAGCTTTTTGTGCCCCTTTCCGTTACAGCAGTGAAATCATCCGCTATATATTATAATAGAATCCTCAAATAATATTTAGTTTTGATAATTGACAGCCTAAAGTCAAATTGATGTTACTTCTACGAAAAATGACACCTGATTGCCAACAATAATATTGCAAATAACTCCCCCGTTAGTTCCGAATACGCGACAGAACTGAAGTAGCAGAGTATCCGGCTCGTCTCCAACGATAAAAAAAGAATCAACGTTCAGTAACATTTAAGGGGATGTGAAAGTGACATCTGATGGGCCAATCGTTCATGAAACTTTTCTCCGAACAAGATGCACCGAAACGCTTCAAACTTGACAACATGAACATGGAGTCTATAAAGAAGGTCCAGACTCTCATGAAATTTCCTGTTCTGCAACAAATTTTAAAAATATCTATAAGCAAATTTAAATAAATTTGAAATCTCATGAGTTTCAGGACCTTCCTTATACTCTTCATATTTCTATTGCCAAGTTTTAATCGATTCGGTAGATCCAGTTTGCAGAAAAGTTTAATGGAAGAGACCTCTTTGACCCCTTAAGGGGATGTGAAACTGACGTCAAAGAGATCTGGTATATGAAACTTTTCTCCGAATTGGGTGTACCGAATATACGTAAATATTGAGGCTATAAAAAAGGTCTTGACATCCATAAAATGTAAAGTTGAAGAAAATTTGTTTATAGATATTTTCCAAATTTTGTATAAAAAATGAAATCTCGCAAGTTTCAGGACCTACCTTAGGGTCTCCATATTCACGTTGTAAAGTTTGAAACGATTCGGTACACCCATTTCGGAAAAAAGTATTATGAACGATTGGCTCCTCGGACACCACTTTCACATCCCCTTAACGACATAACCTTCCTCCCATAAACGACATTCTAATACCTGCAATACTCTGAAATATCCCATCGCGGGCACAGCTCGTGCACCACACCGGCGTCTACCGGAAAATATTACAGCTGGCCTCTCTTCCTTAAGGTAAACATGTGCACGTGTCAATGAGACCGTCTTCGATCCAAACACTCCACTTATCCACCAGGTGGCATTTAAATAGATAAAAGCCATAGGTTCCATCCGCAAACGAGCAGCGAAAACCGTGACATCTCCGTGTACTAAAAATCGGTCACGACCCCGGAAACACCCTATAGAGTGAACAGGTGACACCGGCAGCGATCTGCGGATCGAACGATTCGGCCAAACGAAAGAATTTCGACGTCACTTATCTCGACTAACCCTTTCGGCCGGCATCACAACTCGGAGATTAATCGAACGGAGTACTTTCGGCACACCCTACACACCGTATGTACGCCAGCTCCGGCTCTAGCCGAAAGGAGGGACGGAGATAGCGACCCGGTGGGCAGCTAGTTTCCCGGCCGCGTGGCGGGGATTCCCGACATTTCCTGGGGAATCGATACCGCTCCGAGCTCGAACGCGGGTATACCTTTGGCCAGGAATAGGTGCGTCAGGACGAGCAGGCCCGTGTGTCTCGCGAGCCAGTGTACCCGACGGTTTGAAACTAGCGGTAGCGGGAGAACCGCGGTCGCCATATTGACTTGAGCGATATACGCACCGAGTCTCGACCGACCTGCGCAAGACCCTCGTTCGAACTGTAGCGCCAAGCTGCGCCGAATAAAGCCACGACCCGGCCGCTGCGAATAGCCGACTCGAGCCGCCTGACCACCCGTCCTCGTCCGCGGCAGCGAGTCGAGTGGGGGGAGACCAATAGACGGCCGCGCTCCCCCGTGCGAGCGGGGCACCGGCTAAGCCGTACTTGGCGGGAAACCCTCGAAATTAGAGCGCCGTCTGTTGTTAGGTCGGGGATCGTGTACTCGGGAGCGGTGATAGCGATTACCCGAGGATGTCGATCGGACCGTGCCTCGTGGGTTTGTTTTTGGGGACTCGCTTCCAGATGGTTGAAACCAGCCAAAGACCTCGTCGAGCAAAGTAACGAAGATACTTTATTTTCGATGCCTCTTGGTTTTACAGGAACGACTCGTAGACTCGGTCAATTCAAGGGGACTAGCGTTCGCCGAGAGTTACAGGTGCCTCGCACGCAGGTTACAGAATGGAGACAGTTCAAACTTCGATAGATCAGAGCAAGCCCTTCGGAGCGGGCCTTTTTATACTGACCTAGGATGTTCCTAGGCGCGGAGGAGGATGCTTATTGGTGGGTTTTTAAGATTGAGGAGGGAAATGTCTCATGTCATTGGCTTGGGGACAGGTCGAAGGGGAAACAGGTAGAAAGTGTCTTTTTCCAGAGAATCTGAATGTTTGACGTTTCCCAGGGCTGTCATCTAGTTCGGGGTGCGAAAGTACTCGGATAAACAAAGGGGAGATAAGAACGAGGGAGAGCATGTCTCCAGGAGCGCTTTGGAGCGCGAGACGCGCTGCTTAGTCTCTTTCTTAATATTACTTAAAATAAAACGTTAGGTAGGGACCTAACACTGTCCGGATAAACGGACTACACGCCTGGCGGCGGGAAGGGAGCGGGTCCGACGAAATCGGTTCCTGCCTGGCGAGGAAGGTTGGGTAGGCAAAACACCCCAGGTAATTTACACAGGTCCTTCCTCATATCTCACTTTTAGCGTTAAAAGACGTATTTTAGAGCACTGTTAAAAGCCACCGTTCTCAGGTCTCGCTTTTAAACCACTTTTGTAGAAAATCCATAAAAGAAGCTATGAAAGACGTATTTTAGCAGCAATACCTCCTCATACCCCATTTTAAGCTTCTTTTTGAGCGCTTTTAGGATAAAAGTGAGCGACGATTCCCTAAAAGTGGAAAGGGGGACTTTTAAACCGCTTTCAGCTGTCAAAATAAAACATCAAATTTTGACAGCCTTTAGTTGTCAAAATCGTACATGAAAATGGAATCGATTGACGACATTTTTTACGGAGCAACAGGTCGCGAAGTGAATACAGGGCATCAAATAAATACCAGGGACTTTTGAAATCGAATTTATGTCGTTCTTAGCTAACAAAGAAATTGGGCTTTGGTTCCGGCTTTATGCTGTCAAACTCGCTTCCATTTTTGCGGCAAAGTTCAGCATACTCTGGACTTTTGGCATGCAAAAAACGCACGCGCTGGACACGCGGAGCGCAGGCGCGGAATGCAGTCGTCACATTCTTCCGACAATGTCATATTACGTTTCGTAAAAGTGGCCTTTTACCCAAAAGTGGTCATAAAAGAAGGTATGAGTATGACATCTTTTAGCAGCGACTCGATCATCTTTAACTAAAAGTCGTTGATCTCGATCATCTTTAACTAAAAGTCGTTGAAAAGCGCTGCTAAAAGTGAAATATGAGCGAGGTCCATAGCTTTTTACAGTGAAGGCTGATTTGCACGGTGCCAGAAACTCGTACTAGTCACTAATACCGAGTATTACTCGTCTCGGGTAAACGGCCATTCCAGTACTGGAGTGGAGTACTCGCCCAAGTGCCAATGCGATTCGAGGGAATAGAAAGCAATCCTATTTCCTGGCGCGAGTTGTAACCTTGACCACGTGTTTCACTCTACTGTCTTGTATACCAGACCAATGTAGGCACATTTTTCGAGGGCGGCGTGCAAGTTCCAAGAGCAAATTGTCAGGACAATTCTTAGATGATCAAGAGTGATGTTATTGGATTGTTTAATAGTATTTGTTACTTCCTATTCCCGATAATATACACTAGCATGTAAGTGAAACCACACACTGGGTTCAAAAACAAATCGACGCAGAGAATATCGGTGTCACATAAACATAAACGTAGGATTTAGATAGCGAAAGAACCAAGGGTTCTTTTGTATAAAGCCGACAACGACTTGTGGAGTCTGTGACCCTAACTCTTGCGTTGCTAGTCTCCTGAAGAAGTTCATACCGTACAGATGGTCCTTCCTCGTGAAATTAAATTAAAGAAATCAAATCAACTTTAATATTGAGTAATTCATTCTCCCATTTCCATCAGATGTGTCAAAGTTTCGGACAGTTTGGTCTAATACCCTTAAAAAAAAGGGTTGTATTCGAATCGACTGATTTGAAGGATGTTTCACTACACCATAACAATTCTAATCCTCCCAAAGATTACGATGTCGAGTGAATGAGCTTAGGCGAGATGAAAGTTCGAAAAGTGATAACTTTTTCCAAGGATACAAAATCGACCCCCTAGTCTCTAGTCTTCGCGAGCATTATAGTGTTCCAAAAAGTAGGTTCATACCGTGCAGTATAGCACCGTTGTCGCATCGCCATATCTTGAAAAGTCCTTCATTCATAGAGCCGTTCATGGAAGGAAGCCGTTCGCTTCCGGCGAAGAGTTCGGAACTACTCGGTCCACCGGAAGTGGCGTCTACACTTTGAAAACCGACGGTCCGAAAATATCAGGCTGATTCCGAGAGTCGAGCCGGATGACGTTTCTGGCCTGGCCACGTGGTCGAGCTGCGAAACATCAAACTCGCGTCCCTCTGATGCTTCCATTCATTTGTTTTGTTAACACGAGCGCGTACACACGGGGCTCTTTTACCGTCCCTCGATGAACCGGAAAGTGATCGCGCAAGAATAGCAATTTCCGCACTCGATAGCCGTTCGAGTGGAAGTTCATCCCAAGTGACACACTCGGTGTACTTCGGTCTCGCACCGGACGTTGCCACCGAGTGGTTCTCTTCTTTCACCTTATCGTACCAAGTCAGAAAATTATAAACAAAACGATTTTCCCAAATTCCCCGATCCTTCCATAACTTTTAACGTAGAAAATTTAAGTCGGGCTTGATGTACGAATTCAAATTGCACTTTATCTGCCACCGAGTGGTTCTCTTCTTTCACCTTATCGTACCAAGTCAGAAAATTATAATCAAAACGATTTTCCCACATCCCCCGATCCTTCCATAACTTTTAACGTGGAAAATTTAAGTCGAGCATGATGTACGAATTCAAATTGCACTTTATCTGCCACCGAGTGGTTCTCTTCTTTCACATTATCGTACCAAGTCAGAAAATTATAAACAAAACGATTTTCCCACATCCCCCGATCCTTCCATAACTTTTAAAGTGATGCGAAAGTGTCATCCGAGGGGTTGATCGTTCATGAAACTTTTTTCCGAACCGAGTGTACCAATTTGTTTCAAATTTCACCACATGAATAAAGAGGCTCTAAGGTAGACTCTAAAACTCAAGAAAATTTAATTTCTTATAAGAAATTTTGAAAATAGCCATGAACAAATTAGATTAAAATTGAAATTTCATGGGCGTCAGGACATTCCTTACTCCCTTGACTCCCATATTCACGTTGTAAAGTTTGAAACGATTAGATACACTCAGTTCAGTGCAGAATTTCATAAACGAGACCACAGTGTCGCCACTTTCACATCACCTTAACCTCAAACTGGCCGATCAATTGCAATTCTCCCTTCGACTGCGGTCACTGAGACAGTGAGACTATTTTCTAAGGTCACGGCACAACTCTCGGGAACGAAAGAAATGACCGCGATATGCTTTTTGATCTTTTTTTGTGGAGGAAGCGCGAAATCAGCAAGCAGCGAGTCGAAGCGAACTTGCTTATCGAAGGGCAACCGAGCAACTGACTGATTTTACTGGCATTTCACGAGGCCTGGACGTGGGGACAGGGACGTTCGAGGGGACTCCATTCATCGTTGGAGCTTGCGAGCTTTCGAAGGGCTCAGGGTGCACACACACTTGCGTAAAGTGCGTGTTGCGATTGGCCTTTCCGTCGAAGTGCGTGGGCGTCGGCTGGGAACTCCCGGTGAAGCTTTTACCAAACCTAACCTTCAAGATTTCCAACCATATCTGCTTTTTTCCAAAACCGAAATCGCGATTACTGCACCGTGGAACTGAAGGTCGAAGAAGGTCATCTAGAATGGTTTCATGTAAAACCCCTGTTTCAGTTATTCCTGCACGTTCCTTCCACCTAATCTCCAAGATTTCCTACCATATGTGTAGTATTCCAAAACCGAAATCGCGATTACTGCGCCGTGGAAGTGAAGGTCGAAGAAGGTCATCGGGTATGGTTTCATGTGAAATGCCTGTTTCAGTTATTCCCGCACGTCCCTTCCACCTAATCTCCAAGATTTCCTACCATATCTGTAGTATTACAAAACCGAAATTGCGATTACTGCGCCGTGAAACTGAAGGTCGAAGAAGGTCATCTAGAATGGTTTCATGTGAAACGCCTGTTTCAGTTATTTCTGCACGTTCCTTCCACCTAACCTTCAAGATTTCCTACCACATCTGCATTTTTCCAAAACCGAAATTGCGATTACTGCGCCGTGGAACTGAAGGTCGAAGAAGGTCATCGGGAATGGTTCCATGTGAAACGCCTGTTTCAGTTATTCCCGCACGTTCCTTCCACCTAACCTTCAAGATTTCCTACCATATCTGTACTTTTCCGAAACCGAAATTGCGATTACTGCGCCGTGGAACTGAAGGTCGAAGAAGGTCATCGGGTATGGTTTCATGTGAAACGCCTGTTTCAGTTATTCCTGCACGTTCCTTCTACTTAACCTTCAAGATTTCCTACCATATCTGTACTTTTTCAAAACCGAAATTGCGATTACTGCGCCGTGAAACTGAAGGTCGAAGAAGGTCATCTAGAATGGTTTCATGTGAAACGCCTGTTTCAGTTATTCCTGCACGTTCCTTCCATTTAACCTTCAAG